TCCATCCGATTGGATGTCAAAGAATCTAGCATTGACAAGTGTGGAGATGATAAGAAAAACAATGAAATACTGCTATTTTTACATGTACTTTTAAATCTTACTTTTGATGTGTTGGACTAGGTTATTTTTCTTCATGTGGGCCCCTGTTATAAGTATCTATATCAATATTTTAAGTATGAGAGTAAAAGTTGGAAGTAGAGAATGAGTATATGTAGTATTTTCCTTTTTACATAGAAAACTGAAAAAAAAAAATCATTTAAGTCTTTTTACAAATTGTCAACTAATTTTTTTTTTTTTTGTCAGCCAGTTTGTACCATACTCAGACTAATCGCATTCGCACCAGACCGGCTCAATTAAGATGCAAAATACTAACCAAATTGATTTTTCCAAACGAGAGGGAGTTCAAACTCCTGACTTCAAAGATGAGAGTGCGCATGCACGACCACTCATACCAACTAAACTGGTTCAACCAATCTTAATTTGACAATAATACTAGAATACTTTTCAGGATGGAACTTGGGATTCCTAAAGTTTTTCGTACTAAGATATATAGAGGAAATACACAATAATGAAGTTGTTGGATGTGTTTCTTCTAGAGGCTAGTCATTCATCTGGAAACACTTTCACACGGCCTTCACATAGATTAATGCTAAAAGAGCAGCTGAAATGTCTAAATCTCACCCGTATGTTTTCTTCGTCCCAAAAGGTTAGAAGACCCAACTCCATGGAACCCGTACTTTGAGAGGTTACTTTTACATTATCATTGGTACGACTCGATCTTTGGTCATTCTTCTCTAACTTCACATTTATGACCAACTGAATTAACTACTCATGCGACCAACTTGTATGTTTTCTTATTAGAATCGTCAATTATTAATGAATTCTGATAATTGGTTATAATTGGTCCTCAATTTTTACATGAAGATCATGTTCTCATTTGAACTCATATATATATATATATATATATATATATATATATATATATATATATATATATATATATTGCACATAATTTAACCTCGTCTAAAAGCATAGATTTTTTAGATGTTATTTGTAAAAAGAAAATGCTTCCATCCTTACAGTTACATACCACTCCCAATTATAAAAAGAAAATTATTTATTTTCATTGATTATTGGTGAATTGACCGGTCCAATTATGAGTAAATTTCTATTTTAAATGCTACTGACTTTATTACATTGTATATATGTTCACAATTATGTGTAAATATAGAACCATGTATCCAACAAAAAGATAACACATTAGGGAGGGGTGATTGTTTGATCTAATAATTCATGGTGGTTAGTTATTTAAATAGCTCACAAGAAAGGCAAATTATACCATGGACAAGAGTCTACTTGAACTATGATCCAAAATAATATTCAGATTATGCGTACGTAGTTAACATATTATGTACTTTCAGTTAGTAAATTATACACTTATTAATAAATTGAAAGTACATAATATGTTAAGTGCAAAAATATAATTTATTAACGGCAAACACATAATATGTTAATTGCGTTCAAACATATAATATGTTAACTGTAAGTACATAATCTGAATATTATTTTAGACCCAGTATTTACAATGTAAGATAAACCATAATCCATGGTATAACAATTGCACGAGAAATTCCCCCGTCCATTCCAACCATAGTCACAACTCAATGCAGACAAGAATTAATTAACATGGGTTTTAGTGTTTTACTACGCTAAAGGAGTTTTACAAGATTATTTTTTAAAAAAGGGGGGGTTTAACCGACAGATCCTTGGGAGAAGAAAAATTAAGGTACATAATCATCATCACAATTCCGACACTTAATTAGGTACAGTGAGGATTGATGATTCCCAAAGAGCACACCAGCCTTGATGTGGTCGTTTTAACGTTAAAGACATCGATTGAGTGACCACATTGCTTCTCTATCCGTTGAAACCAATTCCAATTCCTTTTCTTTTTCTATGCCTTTAATCATGGCAGTGGTGGAGAATTAAATTAGCCCCCATTAACTCATCTGTTTACACCTTCAATTTCCCATCTCGTCTAATTAAACATTATATTGATTTGATGTTTTACCCTTTAATCTCTCTATTATTATCATGTATCCCACTGATGCCAACACTTCACCTCTGATCTACTCTTCTCTTTCCCGATAACTAACTATGATTTGACACTTCAATTCATTTCACTCTATCTTTAGTACTCTGCTCTGCTCTTTCTTTAGCTTCATGCTAGCTTTCCTTAAACATATTATTTTCCTTCTTTAATTTCTGGTCTTAGGTTGCTATTTTTTTTAATAAATATCACGACAGTATATAGCAATTCTGTCAATTTTTATTTATAACTTATATCGTTAGGTTACAAGATTTTAGCGTATTTGAACAACTATGGGCCTTAATTAGAGTTTGAACATTTTACCTAAGATAGTAAAATTCCTACCCTTCAAAACAGAGTTCTTCTTATGTTTTTATTTTTATTTTTATTATTTTTTTTTTTGGAGTTAATGAACCCATCATAATGACACACGACACAAATAGATACAAGGAAACAGAACCACCCATTCTTAAAAGTTGATCTCTTCAACAAATGAGTTAACATTATTTACTTGTATCTTAAAATTGGCATTTAGAGTGATCATTTTGTGATAAAAATATATGTGATGTCTATTTCTAATTTGAGTCGGGTCAAAATTGATTCGATTTTTCTAAGCAAGATTGAGAAATTGATATATTCTACCCTAAAGAGGAGCAATGTAGGCTATTACATAAATGTAAAACACCAAATACAAGCAACTTCAGAAAACACCAAATCGACCGATTGATCAAGAATGTATTTTCAACTCGGATCCTAACTCACGATGTATTCTACGAAGAATCCAAAAACAAAATTAAACTCAATCATACAATGAATTGAAGAATAAAACTGACATCATAACTTGTTGAAGATGACCCACCCACCCCACTACTGGACAAGTTCCAAGCAAATTATATCAAAGAACAAACATAAACACATATGTCAATCATAATCATATCCTAGAACGACGACATAGCAGCTCTCAAAAATACTCCGTAAGCATTGACGTCGAAAACTCGATCTCCTAAGTTTTCTCAGAAAAATATAATCTTGTTTTCAATCATAAAATTTCAGACTTATGCTTTTAGATTACAAATTTTGTAGTACGTAAAATTGACTATAATAAATTTTCTGGCGAAAATTGTAATTTTAATTCTTTATTTCTTTTTATTTTCTTTCAAATATTTAATAATTAAACTGGAAATAAGAAGAAGAGGATTTATATTGCAATTTATCCTTATCCAAACTGTTCCCAGTCCAGGACGTAAGTCACGTAACCTTACGCATGACTTCTTTATCCGGTCCTATTGGATAATCTTAGTGCATATTATCTATTCAATAGTCCCATATATAAATATGAATACAAAATAAATTCATTTGAATAATATTACATGCATCAAGCGATAAGCCGATAAACTGTTTTTTTTTTGTCCGACCATGAGGTGTCTTGAGCAGGTCGGATCAATTAAGGAACTCCCGACATCTCTTAAGGGATTAAAGTACACGGTCACTCACACCAACTAAGTTGGTTAAAATGTACTTCATTTATTAATGCAGAATGTATCATACTCATCGTCTCCTATCTCTTATTTGGATTTTCTCTTTATAAGTTCAAAAGTTACTTAACTTAGCTATAAGTTCCAGAAATCATTTTCCAGAAGTCATTTTCCTGCTTTCCAAACGGACCCTTAACTTACTTTTAAGAATACCGTTACATTAATATTCAAACAGTGAATGTGCTTACCCTGTTTGTTACATGGTTAATTACTTCTTAATTCTTGCTGAACTAACCACCCAATATCTTGATTATATGAACCAATGTGGGCTTAGTTTGAATGAAGATATTGAGCCCGACTGTAATTAAGTTATAATGTGTAGCCTTCAAAGGTCTGAACTGGCCATGTTCAACCCATATGGCAAATTTTCAATGTTAGGACTATGGTCCATAGTCCACACAACTATGTGGACAATATATGGAGTATATTATTTCTATGTATATGATACATTATTTTTATGTATAAGTGTACATTATTTCTATGCATATGGTACATACCATATTATTTTTATTAGGAATGATGATAGTCGGGGATTGGTCAGGAAGGGCTACATTCATCACCCTAATTACTTTATATTTTCTCCATCTACTCCTATCCCAACTTGCAAGGAGTGGACTTTTCAAAACACCCCTACCCTACCAGCCTACTAGGTGCAGGTGCTCGATCACTACGGGTACCCACCACTTATTATCTTATTAAAAAAATTTAAAATAATATTTAAATTACTTACACAAAATAAATAATAAAATTTACTAGTTATATTAAAACATAAAATAATAAAAATATATATTTAAATATAATAACTAAATTATTAATTTTTTTTAAAAAATAAACTTTCTAATTTAGAACTAAAAATAGTAAAAAGTTAGTAAAAGTTCTAGAAAATTTTATAATAATTTCAAACTAGTACTTACTTTACTCTGTATATATTAATTAATAACGGGTCGGGTGGAGTTCTAAGCGGATTATGTAAATAAAATTTGAATCCAACTTGTCCATAACCTACCACCCACTATCATTCCCAAAAAACCTGTTCCATGTGGAGTGAATATATACGAGGCGAATTGAATATATTGAACCTCAATACACATATTCTTTTTTACTATACTGTTGTTTAAATTTTAGTATATTATACGTTTGTTTTGATTATATTGTAACACTAAAAATGTACTTATAGTATACTAAAAATAAACATGTATTAAATTCTATTTTACAAGGTCAACCCCGGTTGCAAGATATAGTTATGATTTTTTTTATTGATTGATTTATGAGAAGTCCGATTTAGTATTGAATGTTGAGTTAAATATATACTTCAAAATTTATACTTCTAATCATTTTTTTTCCAATTTCAGAAAAATGTCACAGGTAACAATGTGAGGAGAAAGGTATGTAGGTAGCAATAAACAAATGAAAGCATTATGGGACAGTGAACAACATAGTCAAACAGAAGAGCAAAACAGGTAATAACATCTGCAGAATTTTATGCTTCACAAGATCATAGCCTAAGAATTTAAACCTGCAACAACATCCAACACAGATGATTATAGCAATGAACAAGTGAAGTCACCCTATGAGATTATTAAGACCACAACTTCCATCCTCAGATGAGGCTGCAGCTACTGGTACCACTGCTGTTGCTATACCCGTGAGGCGATGGCAAATTCGAGGCGGTGCCAAGACACAACGCTTCGCCCAAAGGTCCACCGGGCATTATTGAGGACGAGCTCTGAGATTCTGGGTTCAACATTCCGACGCTCAGCCCTTGGTGGTGGTTATCTTCGCCCCCTCCGGGCACTGAAAGCCTAAAAGAACAAAACGGCAACTTCCTATCCGAACTCTTGCAGCTTAAACTGTTATGATCAGTATTGTCTAGTCCATCAATGAAGTGCTGTGTTGGGTGGACTATCCCGGCATTTGCTTGTAGAAACGCCATGTTGTGGCTAAGAAACGCGCTATTCACCTGATGACTCCTCGCTTCATGGCCTTCGAGAAATAGATTCGGGTTCACGAATCCTTGCTCGTTACTACTAAGCTCGGGCCTATACAGCGATGATGTATTCATGTTTATGGCATTGCCAATGGTGTATCCCAACGTTGATGGTGGCGGTGACAAGACGAATTGCTGCTTTTGTCTGGCAAACCATTCATTGCTCCTTCAGTGACCACACACATACACACATAAGTCCAGTCACATCTATTTGCAAAAGAACAAAACACTGGACACACAACATAAACAATCAAGGATACCAACAAAAGCAGACTATGCCAAGTGCCTTGTGGTCTGATGGCATTACTGTTATCTTCCGTTTAAGGAAAATTTCAAGTTCGAATCTTATCCCAATCAAACAGACACAGTATGGAACAGAAAACTAGAGCTTAGGATTTAGGAATCAAAAGAAACCTGTTCTGATCACAAGAGGCAGTTGCCGGGAACTGAAAACTGGGCACAGTGACAGGGTAATTGTTGTTGTGATTAGGAGAGTTTTTGTGAGACTGAATTTCCACAGGCTTTCTTGAACGGGGTCTGTTTTTGTGAGCGTGGCGCTCGCAGTATTTCTGGTCAGGCAAAACATCCCTAGAACACCTCCATTTCTTCCCATCTGTTCTCCTACACCGCCACGGCTCCGGATCCGACCCGGCCGGAAACTTCAAATCCAACCCAGATTCTTCACACAAAAAGATAAAAACAAGTGTGACCCAAAAGGCCCTTTGCGTTTTTGTTTGTTTTCCCTTTTTTACCAAGAATTCAAGAAAGTGAAGAAAAAGGGGAAATTGAGGAATATTACTGTTGGATTGGGTTTTGGGTAAAGGAATGAGAAGCTGAGGAGGAACAGGAACCGAAGCCATCATGTATTTGTATATTAAACTCTGCCTCTCAAATTCTTGCCTCTGGGAAGCTGTAAAAACTACAGCTTTCTCAGACCCCATGCTCCCCCCTGCAACTCACCATAATTTTCAATCAAATTATATTATAAACGAGCCCTAAAGAACCCATCCCAAAAGCAAAAAAAAATATTTTTTAAAAAAAAATCAGTATATAGAAGTAAAGAGAAAGTTGGGTTTGTGTGTACCGGTAAGAGGAGCAGCAGAGTTAAAGAAAATGGGCCCACCGGCAGGAGCAGCAGAAGTTCCATTTCCGCCGTCACCGAAGCAAGAACCCTCAGTTTCAGAAGGAGAGAACTGAAACTGACGATTAAGCCTAGTAGTCTTCTTAGTACAACGATACGAGGAGGAATCATCGTCGTGTTCGCCTAGCCCCGCCAATTTCCCACTCCTTTCTCTGCTCCCCATTCTCGCAATCCACTCTGCGATTCCTTAAATACTCGAATCAAATTCAGAGAGCGAGGCAAAGCTTCATCAAAAACCGTTCTTTTTTTATTCTGCGAGGTTGTACAGACATATATTTATATAATAACATATTTATATATATATTCAAAGACGGTTGTTGAGATTTGGTTTTAGATTGTTGCGGTGCCGCCATTTCGCAGCTGGAAGCTTTGGGTTATGTGCTAGTACGTTGCGAGAGTAATGCTCCATTGCTTCCCAAAATTCGCCCCGTTACGGATTACGCCCTAACGGAACACAACCCAGTAGGTGAATACCTGTTTTGACTTCGGTCCCCTCAATTCATGATATTCTACTTCATGTACTTTTAAATTTAATTCTTTTAAAATTACTCTTTAATATGGTCGATGCGGTCACGTTGATGTGTTATTTTCTTTATATAGTTCCTGTAAAAGTGTTAAGATCAAAAATTTAAGTGTATGAGTAAAAAATGAGAATAGAGAATGAAAATTCATATAATATTTTTCTTATATTACACGGAGTATTTAATACTCAATTTAGTTATTTATTATAATGATTTCTCTCAATGTAGTTTTAAAAGTCTTCTTATATTTAATTGGGTCATATACTTTGATGGTTCTATAACTTCTATAGAGTATTTAACTGAGTTCTCGATGGTTAGAATCAAGAACAAAATCGAGAAAAATAATTATAATCGATAACTAAATTGAGTGTTAACCCCTATAGTTACATATTAAATTAGGTAAAATCAATATAATTGATGAGTGCGATAACTAAATTGGGTATCAATAAATGAAAAATTATCAAATTATCTTAACAGAAAACTCAATTAGATAAAACCATCAAAGTTTAAGACCCCAATTAAGTTTTTAAAAATAATGTTTAAACTAACTATTTAAAAAAAAAAAATCAATATAGTTGAGAACTAAATTAGGTATTAACTAATTAATACCAATTACCAATTTGCTATTTTGTTATTCTCAAGTGACGTTGCTTATGTCTTGTATGTTGTAGTGCTACTTAGGGTAAGTATGTTGTGACTTGTGAGACTGTCTCTCAGATTCTTTTTTCGTGAGACGGGTCAGATTTAGATAGAAATTTAATATTTATGATGAAAAATGTAATAATAATATATAAGAGATATATTGATTGTTACTTATGAGGAAAAATGTGATACTTTAATTTTTTTTTTAAAAATGTAATACTTTTCAATCAAAATGTAATATTTAGAAGTTGAAAAAGTTACTTATGAGAAAAAAAAAATATAATACTAATCAATAATAAATTAATTGATTATTACTTATGATGAAAAATGTAACATTTATGAGGAAAAATGTAATACTAATTATAGACAAATTGATTGTTACGCAAAAGAGAAAGTGTAATACGTATTAGGAAAAATGTGTTACTTTTGAAAAAATATATAATATTTATGAGTTAAAAAGTTATTTATAAGGAAAATGTTAATACTTAAGAAAATTTCGATCCGTCTCACGGATAAAGATTCATAAGACGGTCTCATAGAAGACTTTGCCTTAATCCAATAGTATGATAGCAAAAATAAATAAAGCAACATAATAATCAGAATAAAATATGATAGCAAGATAAAACACATCAATATTGATTTAGTTTAAATGAAACTTGTCAGTAGCCTTACTTCTAGTGAGACTCAATCCTTAATCATTTTTTTCAACTTTCACATCTATGACCAGTTAAGCTGCCCATACAGACATGCATGTATAATGCAATGTAGACATATAAGTAGCGAGTTTTAGGGGTGTTTAGCTTATGAGATGTGAAATTACTCTAATGATGCGCCGAAGTTATATAACATTGGAAATTACTATGTGAAATCTCAAGTTCTACTTCCAAATTTGAATTTCACTTTTAAATTCTTGATGTAAACATTTTTATTGGAACTCACACAATGAAAATAATCTATACTTATCTGTCACATGAAAGAGTAAAACTGTAAAAGTGAATGAGTAAAATTTGGAAGTATATGTAGTAGAACTCTATAACATTACATAGGTAATATGAGTATATATGTTAATGTTATATAACTTTGTTTGATTCAAGTTATAAGATTGCATCGATAATCTTATATTACTACCACATAGGACTTTGATGTAATGTTAGAGATAATGTGATCACTCCATCTTCTTAGGTATTCTTATATTACTTTTCAATATTCTATTTTTGTCCTTATCAACTAACCATTATACAACAATTATATATGTGTGTATAATTTTTATTGAGTTAATTCCATTTTCGGTACTAAATTTATAGGTGACAATTCACTTTTAGTCCTTTTTTTTTTTTCAAAATACCCCCCTGTAGTCCTAGTATTATTGTGGCATGATTATTTTTTGTCATCTATTAACGAAACTGTTTAAATTCTGTAAAATACAAGAGCATTTTTGTCTTCAATTATGAACTTTAAAAAAAATATATAAATAAAAATATAACCAGTAAACTAACTTTGTATAAAAAAGATCAAGATGTTATTGTATTTAACGACTAAAATTCGACTACTACCTATAAATCTAGAACCAAAAATGAAATTAACTCAATATTTATTTATTTATTTATTTACTTATTTGTAAGGGAATTTAAGTAAATTACAGAATATAACCTAAAATATAACCGAAACTAAACTTGTTATATCATCACGATCCCAACTAATGACACAAGTTACTATTACATTACTGTACCATGATCTCATATTACCTCTCGGGAGTTATCTCATCACTTAGGCTAATCTTATATTCTTGAACTAAACAATCCCTAAGAAATGTGATTACTTTTTAAAAACATAATGTGAGACTACGATAATATAATTTTACCATGTGTTCTCACTTAAGATTATGAGAATGATATGTGCAGCATAAATGACAAAATTTGCATATTTTAAAGTAACATTACAATATCCAATAAAAGGTAATTAACAAATCATATTAATTTTATTTTACCTATTTTTTTACATGACAATAATGCTATGTTAGTTATAAGTGAACGCATAATTTGAACTAAACAATGTTATATAAGATAATTTTTTTTTTTTTTGATTTATGAGAATTTTTTAATATTTAATTTAACTATCAATAGAAAATAAAGTCAACAAAATATATTCATTTTGATCAAAGAAAAATGACTCATTTTGATGAAAAAATATTTTTGAAATTTTTAATCAGAATACATGTTTTCAAATCTATATCTCACACTCAATTATTCTCTTTAAGCGATGTCATATTGACGGTTGACTTGCCATATGTTTAGTTATTATTTAGATCGGATTGACTTAAGTTAAAATATGGGTCAGGTTGGTCCGAGACTAACAATAAAAATGTGGGTTTGGCCAGGTCAACAATCCATAAAATTAAAAATTAAATTTTTTTGATTTATCATGATTTACATCCTCACAAATGCTCTGTCGGGTGTTGGGAATTTAATCTGTAGAGAGAAAAATTATTATTTTTTAATTAATTTATTTATAAATTATTACATTCATCAATGCACAGTTAAAATATGGGTCTTTAATTCATAGTTTTTACATTGTATCATTGTATAACTACGTATGAGTGCCTAATAATAAAATTCTTAGCCTGATCCAACCCACAACACAATATTTTTTTTTAAAGTAAATTTTTTTCTTTAATTTTTTTTTTTACATTGTCAAAAAAAAAAACTATGCTTATTAATTTATGTATTTCTTATTATAAATTATAAGTTAAAAATTATTTATTTACATCTTTTTATTATAGTTATTGTTAATCTATATAACTATTATAAATTTTAATTTATAGTTTTATTTTAATATAAATAATAATATAATTATTAGCATCATTAAAATATTTAATCTTTGATAGGAAATAAATTATAATAACTTTTTGTTATTTTTTAGAAGATGAAGCAAGCATTAAAAAATAATTTTATTATTATTATTATTATTTTTTGTTAAACAGGAAATGTCATTTTTTTTTAACTTTTAGCCAAATTAAATTTAAAGAGTCAACCAGGACTATGTGGTCTAATAGTATCCGGGTTGGACTTCCATTTGGAAGATTGTGATTTCGAGCCTCAGTGGAGGCGTTTCAGTAGGTTGAGAAAGTATATGAACAGATACTACATTGTAATAGAGCTAGTAGCATTCAAAAAAAAATTTAAAGAGTCATTTTCATAAATTAATTTCTAAAAATATGTTACAAGTTTTTAAACGGTTCCTGATTGTTATGTAATTAGTGCATTTTTGAATACTGATTTTGGTTTAATTGAGGTTAAAATTGCACTATCTTACTATTTTACCTTATTTTTGTGAATCATGAAATGTTGGGTGAGAACCTAAAAAAAAGGGAAGAAATATTTGGTGATTTATGGAGATTTTAAAATGGTCTTTGAGGAGATGGAAGACTTGGAATCGGAATTGAACATGTTGTATCGCGTTGACATATGAAAGAAGTTGATTAAAGCAGATGAATAAAACATAATGGTTCATCTTGTACCACATGGTCACGCCAGAACAAAAAATTTAAGTTTCAACCATTACACTTGTTTAAAATCTCTCATTCTTCAATACACGAACCAAAATTCTTATTGAAAGAGACAAAACAAAAAATGAAAGATCACATGAATCAAGTCAAAAAAAAAAAAAAAAAAAAAAGTTACTAGAGGTAATATTGTAGGTTGGTCCACTTTTATGTGTTCAATGCTCAATTTTAGGATCGATCGGGACTTAAGCTGTAAAAGTACATGGCATTGCACACGTAGTGAAAGATTCTACTTCTTTCACAAGTATAAGCTTTAATTACGTTATAATTATTATTTTTTTTTCAAATTATACTGATAAACTTATCCTGCTCGTTTACCTAACTATTTATAAATTATTATCTTTTTTCATTTAAAAGAAAATATTATCTTATTTATTTATACTAATAAGTAAAATTACGGAGTAATAATTTGCTATTTTAGAAATTTATTCTGTATTTATCTGTCGATTTGTGCACCGAGTTTCGAGGAATAGTGAATGATTGCATTGCGTTGCAAAGAGTAATCTGGTAAGAACCGTAACGGACTTGTAGTGGTCCGTTTCCTACCTGGCGCCGTTTACTATTTTCAACAAAGAAACGTGATATTAAGGCCCACCAGCTTTTATCTTTGGGATGAGGTGGGGACCACCAACTGTGGTCCCTACCCTCGCGGGCCGCACCTCTTGTCTTGTCTACTAGTTGCTACCACCGCTTTCTACCCAGTAAAAATATATATCCGCACGAGCTTAGCTCAATAGTTCAGTGAACAGTATTTGATAGAAGATATTAGATTCAAACATCAACAATGATAATATAAGGATTATGTTAAAAGTAAACAGATTTCTTGTACTAATATTTGGTTATATACGATCTAATACGTGCTCAAGAGTCAAGACCACTAATTTGAAATAGTAATAGAAGTGTCCTATGACATATTTAAGTTTTGTTTATTTAAATTTTTTGTCAACTTTTTATTTTCGTTTTCTACTTTTTAATCATTGTCTATATTAGTTACCAAGACTATGTGGTCTAATGGTACCCGGGTTGGACTTCCATATGAGTTCAAGCCTATTGGTTCTTTGTGTTTATACTACAATGTAATAGAGCCAATATCATTCAAAAAAAAAAGTTTATCTTTTTTTTTTTTTAAGCATTTACAAATTTATATTATTCTGGTTCAAGATTTTTGGCAGAAGTATATATGACATGCATGTTGCAAAATGCTAAACTTTTCGATCTTCTGAGGAATTTTGAATTGCTTAGAATTCCATACAGATGCAATCCTTCTTAGAGGATGATCATACCAATCCATTATGGATAAACTAAAGATCTAAGAGAAAAGAAGAAGAGCACATTGTTCAATTAAGATCTCGCGGAAAAGAAAGCCAGAGCTCCAACAAGGGGAGCATTGATGTAGGTTGCCGGCTCCGATTGCTGATAGTTATTCCGGTCATCGGCGAAGTTATCCCGATTATCAGGGCCGCCGACGATGGCTCCGACGAGAACGTTAGGATTGGGCGAGCCGGAGTAGAAGTACTGGAAACCATCGCTGCAGCCGATGCGGCCGGGATGCTGCTTCACCGCCGGCACAGAAGAGCCCCGGTGGTGAATGTGTTGCGGATACTTCTGCCCAAACCCGACCATGTACGACATTCTTGCCGGGTTGTCGCCGAGGATGTAGTCCACTTGTTTCTTCGCCACCGCGATGAGTTTGTCCGCCGTGAAAGACGACGACCCGCACGACACTGCTCCGCCGTGCGAGTTTAGGTATTTTGCGTAGGTTAGTAGGAGGAAAGACGAGGATGTAACGTATTGGAGATTGCTTTCGCTTTCTTTGTACAAAAGTCCCCCTGCAATTAAACATCATCCGTACACCATAGGCAATGTCAGAAAAATTCACAATCACTACTACCCGAGAATACTAAGTTGGCTGACTGACTCAAATCAAAAAAGCCACTAGCCTTATAACCCTAATCAACAAAGGATCATAATAAGATGAACCAGCTAACTTCTAACTAGCTATCTGGTGCAAAATAAGAAGGTCAATAAGCATCTGTCTTATGACTCTAGTTGGCAATCAATAAGTCACACATCCGCTGAGAATCGAACTTTAACATTGTAAACAGTCAGACCATAGAATTCTAGCTAGGATTATTGAGGTAGAGATGCAGACCTGGGGTATATTGGGCTTGTAAACTAGGCGATCCAGGAATGAGAGAGCAAATGTAGTTGTCTGAGTGCGACTTATACAGCTGAAATTCTTGGATATTCTTGTCCAGGAAGCCCTGTTTTGAGACATTATTGTTACTCCAACTAACAAAAATGCAGCTCAAGAGTCAAGAATTGAATTCAAACATGGAAAGCCAAATTCAAAGTGATAGAAACCTTGGACAGGAGAATCTTGGTTGCAGGACGCTTGTCGTCCCAGCTAAAGGAATAATCATCGTCTGTTGCGCCCAACGTTTGGCCATTTGATTGAATGTAATCCAGATACGAGGTAATCCCTGAAGCTCTATACAGCCAAGATGCTCCCCACAAAAGCTCATCCTGAACATAATCAAAACCAATCAATATATTAGCCAAAATTAAGACAGAATTTATAGGTAGCCACTGCACATTTGTCTTACATGGTATCCTGAGTATGAGCAGTAGAATGGACAGACCACAGAACTAAGCGAGTCGCTGTAAGAACCCCTATATTTGTCAGCAAAGTTGAACACCTGCAAGATGCACATATATATATAGTTCATAATTCGCTATTCTGATAGCAAGCAAATTTGGTTAATTAAGCTAATATATATGCTTCTCACATTCATTGCAGTGCGGAGTAATTGAGTGGAATAAGAGGGGTCAGAATCTTTGAAGACGATGGAAGCGGCGGCCAAAGCCGCAGCCGTCTCAGCTGCAACATCGGACCCTGGATTTTGCGGCGAAACTTTGTACACATTTCGCGGTGTGTCCATGTCTTCTGGTCTCTCCCAGCACCTATGATCCTGGTTCGGCTCCCCAACCTGTTCCAGGTAAAAACACACGTTAAAACCATGATTCTTGGATGCATCAATCAATTATATATTATCTTGCCCACAATCTGCCACCCAAAAACTAACTGAGCTACCCAGTCTTATCTGAATTGCTCACTTGGACATATAGAGTGTTAGGGGTGGCCGTTGCTGCTTTCAACAGATAATCTGTGCCCCATCGGATAGCGGCTTTGGCGTTGTTGAGCTGATTGTGCATTGAATCTCCAAACTCAATAACACTCCATGATAAGAGCGTGGTTGTGAAAGCCATTGGCAGCCCAAACTTAACGTTGTCCCCAGCATCATAGTATCCTCCAACCAGGTCAACCTAAACACACAAAACAAAACACATTTAGAATATATAGTTTGCTAATAAGTTTTAGTCTTGATCTAATTAGGTATATAGGGTTTTACATGGGAAGTTGAGCCATCAGACAGGCCAGAGTTTCCCCTCCAAGCGAGACGTTGATTGGCCGGCAATTTCCCCGACCTCTGGCCCTCGTAGAAGATGATGGACTTCTCGAGGGCAACCGAGTAGTCTCGGGAAGTGAACGCAGAACAAGAAAAGATGAAGGAGAGGAGAAAGGTTATGCACAAAACATGCATGTAAACTACACCCATTCTCTCTTTCTTTCTTTCTAACTTTCCTAATAGAGAGAATGTGTTAGGTTGTTTGAGACTTGGAGGGAAGGCTTCACCCCCATTTGGGTTAAATAGATGGCGGTTGAGAAGTTCGTTGGTGGTTTGACCAAGCTTTTTCTGTGAATGGGACCCAACACAAATTCTCAACAAAAAAACGTAGAAAAAGAGTGTCACATCGGTCACGGGATTAGCTGCGTTAAATGGGACATCTTTTGATGTTTTTAGGAAGAGAAATTCAGAAAAGAAGCAAAATGGGGAAGAAAGTAGTCAGTGCATACAGACCAGAATCAGAACCCGGACCTCGATACATGTTAATGTCGTGTCAAAAGTATTCACGACTTCGTAAAACTTAAACGACAAAACTAACATTAATTATCACTTTGTAATTATAACAAACAAATCATCTCAATAATGTTTATAGACAAAAGACAATATTACTTTCCCCAAATTTGTTATACAAAATCTTGTAACATTGAATACGATTAAAGTAGGTGTCACTTTTCGTGGTACTGAATTAATTGAATAAAATAATATAAAATCGTATAAAATTTTGTACAAATTGTATTATTCCCTCATAATTGCTGATTTAATTAATTTAAATTGTATGACAATATTATACCATTAAAACTTGAATTTTTAGATATATGACCACGATTCAGCTTGAATAATGTACTAATAAATTAGAATTAGACTAGAGATACCTAAGATTCTTAAACATTAAAAATCATTAGTGTTAGTTATAGTTTAATTTAGACCGTGTAGTTAGAGTTCCAAACTTTAAAAAAGTAAAATAAGTTATGCATTATTATGTTTTACTATATATATAGAGAAGAAAGTTATACTTTAATTTGTAATTTTTTTTTTCCATCCAAAAGGTTTCTATTGTACTATGAGTTAAAAATATTGTGCCTTGATATTTTGTGAATAAAATAGACCTTAGCTTACACTTATAACTTTATATAACACACGCTCAAAGTCATTTCTTTTAATATATTTGGCATTTCTTTAACCATTCCTCATGAGAAATTATTAGACTTATTTCAAATTACTTTTTTTTTTATATATAATTTCATAAAAATACAATTCATATAATTTTAAGTTACAATTTTTTTTTTATAAAGCTCTAGAATTTGTGCATCGTGCTTGCTAGTAATTTTACATAGACAAATTAGAATTGTGAAACCGAGTTTTATAAGTTATTTTATATGTTAACAATTAACAGTAAACAACTAAATTTATCACATATTTTCTGAAATAATTAATACTATTAGTTGGTCAAAATAATTAATATAATTCATTATCTAGTATGACTAAGATTCTCAAACTCAGCACTCAATCAAAGAAATAAGGCAAGAATGTTGCAAGGAAAATAAATGTAATATAAAATATGGAGACAATAATACTCCTATTTATATATTATTATTACATCAACCTTAGTTTAATTAATATAAACTTCTCAAATATAGGAAGTTGTCTTACACTTACACAAAGTTATCCAATCTTTTTCTTTTTCTCAAGAAAATCATGCAAGTGTCCTTTATGTCTTTAATTGCCTCCTCCTGAACCGAGTTACGTTGTCTTTCTCTTAGGCTCGCGTTGTCTTTCCATTAGGCCAATCCGCTAGCCCACACCTTTTGCATGTCACCTATATCAACCTCAGTCTACAATCTTGACTCGAGAAATCATGTTTTGACTTAACACTATCAATTATCAAGTAATACGTACAATTTGTTATTAACTATATATTCGTTATTGTTAATTGTCAAACCTGCCCATAATATATATTTGTTTAAAATTTGGAGTCAATTGTGTTTTGAAAAATCATTATACGAAATAGTAATTGGTTTGAATTAGTGAGTGGAATTGCGATTTATGAAGGGCGTAATTTATGGTGGATTGGGAGTAAAAAAAAGTCCAAAAGGATTAGCCATTTGCACATTTTGTCAGAAGAAATGTGGAAGGTTGTTTTGGCGTATGTGTTGGTATGCTTAGAAAATAATTTGTTGGAGTCTATACCTATCGGCTCACGGATTGCCCAATCACTTCAACCAAGTAATTTAGCTCTGATTCCTCAATCTATGCACGCCTAAAAAGTGAAGATAACATAGATTTAGCAGCCATATATATTATAATAAGCACAATTGTTTTTCTTTTGTCAATATAAATTTTGATCAATATTGTTTAACAGTATTTTACATTAAACTGATATTAAATATATAGAAAATACAATTTATTTAGTAATTACAAGATTTTAAATTTGATTTTCTATGAAAATTGTTTATGAATCTTCTTAATACGAACCGGTCAATTAGATAATCTAAACTGGTTACATTCTTATGTCAACTGGGTCTTTAATGTTTTAGCTACTAGAGGGATGGTCCAAGAAGTATATTAGTCCTGAAAAATCACCTCTTGAGTTCATTGTTATTTATTTATTTATTGGTTTCCCTATAAGAGCATAATATAATGCTCTCATTTGTTTTTTTTTTTTTGTTTTTTTTGTTTTTTTTTGTTTTTTTATTTTTTATTTTATAAAAAGTGTGCATTAAAAATTAATACTTCGTAATTTATAATTATTATCTTCTCAATCAATTAATTAATATACGACACAAAACATTAAAAGAATATATCCAAGCCGGTCCCATCAAGTCTAGTAGAGTACACAACATACTTTAGTCCAACCACAATTGATGAGAGACAAAATTCACTTTTAATCAATGTGTAATTGTGTTTGTGTGTGTATATATATATATATATATATATATATATATATATATATATAATCACTTTTAGACTATTAAATATAATCAAAACACGTTTGGTTTTTATTTAAAAATTAAAGGACATACAATGTATTTGCATTAGGATCTTAAAAGACTGTTTTTAATTTAATTTATCGGTCTAACACAATTCTTCTTTAGGAACTTTTGATCTTTAAATTAAGAGCGATTCTATTAAATCGGTGTTATGTTTGAAGTAGATAATAGTAAATGTTATAACATGTGATAGAGCAGGATGTATGCAATGAATATCACATGGAAAGGTCACGCAAATTGTTAATAACAAGATTGTACGTTAGCGGCGCAATCCATGAAAATTCCATACCTAATATAATATACAATTCACGGGAAAATAACTGCACAAACTTTGACTCCAACTAAACCAAAAATACTTTTCTTGACTTAACCTCCAAAAATTTACCGGATAAAATGGATATTGTTACACATATACCAAAATCTATATATTTTTTGGTTTGAATCCATTATATTAACTCATGCTAAAGTATCGTAATCTAACACGTAATTTATTTATTTATTTTTGTAATATATATATATATATATATATATATATATATATATATATATATATATATATATATATATATAGGCGAGTTCAGGTGTCTTACGGTGCGGCCACACCAATAGTTCACCAAATATGCACCATCAACGTTAGGAAATACACCACACAAAACAGAGTAAACAGAGTCCTGCATCACCAAACACACACCATTAGGTGTGAGTAAAAACACCATACACTGTTCGGAAATACACCATTGGGGGTGGTGAGTTATATGGTGTGTTTTTTTTGAGTCTGTGGTGTATTTTGTGATGTTTTATTAAATTTCATTGGGGTGTGTTTTTATTACACTGTTGGTGCATATTGTTAACACTGTTGGTGTATTCTGGAATTTGACCGCACCGTCGCACCGTAAGACCCCGCCGCATATGAGCGCTCTTCTATATATATATATATATATATATATATATATATATATATATATATATATATATATATATATATATATATATATATATATATATATATATAGTGCCATGTTTGGTAACTTAGTTAGCTTATCAGCCAATTTTGACTTATTTGACAATTATTAGTTTTTTTGACTTAGTTAAGTCTTTGATTAATTAGCTCTTTGCAACATCTTATAGATCCAAAATGCTAAAATTCAAAAAGTTGTTCAAAGAAGTTTTTTTGATCAGCTTTTTGAGAAAGTCATGTTGGAAAAAATAGATTAAAATGACATAAAATGGCATGTTAAGTGGCTATTTTGTGGTACAATTATCAGTGGGGTCCACTTCCGATTTGAGTCGGGTCAAAATGGATTCGGGATCTTCGTAGTAAGACGAAGATATTGATATATTGTATGCTCAAAACGGATAATGGGTGAATGAGATATTGATTCTCAAATTAGACGCATTGAGTTCGAAAAATGAAGGGAAAAAGTGAAGCTTTTGTCCCACATTGATTTGGGAAGAGGATTTGCCCCACTATTTATACAAGAGCTCTTTTGAGGTTTTTTGAATTGTATAGTATAGATGCTCTCTCTCACACGGGAGGGGGGGGGGGGGGGGGTGTGGTGGTGCAAATCAAATCCCAAACTGAGAGCGAAAAAGGCTTGGTTCAAGCCTAATCTCGATGGTTTGTGCATTGCTAGGCCGTACCGGCTTCCTAATGCCAAGATTAAGAGCTATTTAATACTCAAGCCCTATATAAGAAGGGGTAGTGCAAGAGCTTTTTACAGAACAACAAGTTCACATACTTACCCGTTTTCTAGCTTCAAAAACTCTCTGCTTCTACTCTTTCTTAGCCGAATTGTGTTCAAAACGTTGCTCTAGTTCGCCGAATTCCTTGTTTGGGTGCTCAAACATTGAATCGTAGCAAGTTTTATCTTGGGAAGCCTAGACTACAACGCTCCTAACACTTGTGGGATGTAGCTCCTAACACTTGTGGGAGGTAGCAAATAAGGTTTTAAGGAAATAGTGATCGCTTGACTCTTGCTAAAAATCCTACACCAAACACGAGCCTATCTCATCATCCTTTCCTTCCTTTTTTCTACAGAAAATAATAATCCTTATTTTTGTGGGATTATTATTCGGTTTTACCAACGAGATATCCAATAAGTCATTTTGTATGTAATCAGCTAAGAGTTAGTTTACTAAACATCTTTCTACAATCAGCTAATGCTATCAATTAAGTTTGTCAAACCCACTAACCCAAATATCTAATAGCTATTTCTGTTGAGTGCAGGAGAGATAATTCAAACTAGGAAGATAATGTGTACGTGACAGATTAAATCGAGGTGCTGACAGAAATTGAACTTGTGATCTTCTAATACGAGAATCATATTTCACTCACTTGCCCATCCATTTCGAGGCTGGATCAAATTTAAACATTGTTGCTCCACTCATATTCCATAAGTACGTGAATTTAAACAAAATATCATGCACTCTACTCATGTTCCTGTTATATGTACTAAATGGTTCTATTAGTTTGTAGGAGAACCAATTAACTAATGGTTAACTAATGAAGGAATAAGTGTTAAATAGGCCACTGAATGGTGTCAAAGTGCAATTAGGTCATCGAACTCAAAAACAATGCAATTGGGTCCTTGAACCACACAAAATTATGCAATTAGTTCCAAAATGACCTGTTTACTTGAAATGCAGGTTACCAATTTTAAAAATAATATTTTAAAATATTTTAAAATAAAATAATTAATTAAAATTATATAATTAAAAAAAAAAAAGTGGGGAGTGCTGGAGACGAATCGTCTCCGGCAGTCTTCGACTCCATGGTAGGAGACCATCCCTCATCTCCGGCCATGGAGATAAAGAGACCTTCGTCTCCATGGCTTGGGAGACGAAGACTGCCCCCGGCACTTTTTTTTTTGTTTTTTGTTTTGTTTTTTTTTATATTTTAATTAATTATTTTATTTAAAATTTATTTTTAAAATTGGTAACCGCCACGTCAATAGGTCATTTTAGACTTAATTGTGTGATTTTGTGTAGTTTAGCGACCTAATTGCATTGTTTTTGAGTTCGATGACCGCATTATTTTTGAGTTCGATAGCCTAATTGCACTTTGATGTGCAATTCGGGGGTCTATTTGACCCTTATTCCACTGATGAATATGAAAAGTGATTATCCACGTCTTACCCAGCAAACACCAATACATGATATAAGATTTAGAGAAAAAGATATAGTAAATAATATTTTCTCAATCTAAAACTTTAAAAATATTAATAATAAAAAGAACATGGAAATCATTTGCAAGTAGGTATACGTTTGATGAATTCAGACAGATTAGTGCGGCTTGATTTCTGGGAATTTTGAAGACTTATTATAGTTTATATGTTGGGCAGAAATTGTGTCTTTCTGACAAGCCAACAATAATAACTTTAATTCGAAGGATGTGTTCTTTGGGTGACGAGGATAATTTGTACTCCTTAGTTATTATTTAAGTGTGTGCGTTCAATAAATTTTGTTATTGTGTGTAATAGCATGATTGAGTGAAAGAGATTCATATATCTTTAATCAAATGTCAAGAGTTTGATCGTTAGCTATGGGTATGAAGTAGTCTTAAATTACTAAATCAATTGTCTCACCTATTAGAAGTGCCTAGAATTCAGCGTGGGAGTTAGTCACGTGTCCGACGGTGAAACTGAAAACCTTGAGTACAAAAAGAAAAAAATATATAATAACAATGAAGATATAAATCACACAAAAACATCTTGTGTCACGAGTTCAATAGAAATTGTATTGACAATAATCAAATTCATGACATAATATAAGAATCATATTCTACCTGTTAGTGTTAGCTTAACTTTAATTTCTTGTGTGGAAAAGTTAACGTTGTAATGTCTAAATAATTGTTGCATATTTAGACATTAGCTGAATGGGAGTAGGATAGGTTACGTTAGTCAATATATAATAAATATATGCATGCCTTAATTATCTTCTTCGTCTTCTTTTATATATATTTTTAAAAATAAAAACATGTTAACATTTTTTTGAGAAAGATCAAAGTCAATCAAATTAGGCAAACCTGCAGTTGCAACGTCAACCGGAAGGTTATCGTTGAATTTCGAAATCAATAAAGCGATATATAAATAAACAATGCAGGAGAAGTCAAAAGGGGATGTAGCTCAGATGGTAGAGCGCTCGCTTAGCATGCGAGAGGTACGGGGATCGATATCCCGCATCTCCAATTTTGCTATGTGAAATCTGTTTTGTTTTCCTAAGATAAGAGGGGTTCACATTTCATAATGTACACAAGGCGTTGTATCTATCGATTCTAAATGTTGACAGTTCACATTTAATCTCACATGTCAGTATTATAAACTCTTCACTCTGCAGGGCAATATCATTGCAATGCCTAAAAATTTAAAATTCAATACTTCATCATGTTGGTAAGATTCATATGTTCCTAAGATTGAGATACTGTGTAAGTACTTCCAAACGATGGGTGAATTTATTAACAAGCCCAGAGCAAAGCTCAGAACAATTGCAATTCCTCTAGAGCAGCAACCGTAAGGATGATGAACTACGATTTCATTTATGAATACTCTTTGGATCCCATAAATGCGGGAAAATAAAGATCAAGAAAATTTAGAAATGGAATGCATGGGGCAGTCTACTCAGCAGCTTCCACTTGTTTTGTTGCCTCCACTGCTTTCACCTTTTCTAATGCTGAAATACGTCCATTTAGAGATTCGTAGACACCATTCATCTGAGGAGAGCAAAAACAGAAACGATCATATGTGGTTGAGACTTGTATAAAACCATAAGAATATATATTGTTATTGCTTTTTGCATAGATTGATAGAGGAGATTAGACCAATCAAACTGAACAACTGCAATGCCACTGGCCATCAATTAATGTCCACTGGATTGAGTAATCAAAATACTAGTGTTAACTCATTTTGGTTGAGAATTTTACTGACAGATACTACGTATAAAATGCATTGTTCATGAACGATTAATGCTGAGGAAGAGAATATATGTCTGAGTATCAATTTCATCATATCATTCACACCTTGGAGATTGGCAAAAAAGTCAACTTTAGGGCAAAAAATTGTGCCAATTACTCAATGGATCTTCACCACAAAAGAGCTAATGGACTCAAATTATAAGCATGGTAATGAACTCAAATTATGGTCACAAACATATTTACAAATTAAGATGCCAATTGGGAAACAAATAAGTTATTGTAAACTTAGACATCGAATGGAAGTGATTGTAGCACTGGTAAAAAGGTTATTTCGGTAACGAAATTTGGCTGTTGGAACTAGGTTTGACATTTCTGCAGGTGCTAGAATATAATAATAATGACAGCAATCATTTGATGGCCACTTAATCGGCTGTAGAATGGTAACTGATACCACAGTTATGAAGGAGCTAGGAGAGCTCATGATTGAGGGAGATGATTCTTTTGTATTCTTCATTTTCAAATTTCAATAAGAAGCAGTGAAGCACAAAATTGACTAATTTTACGTCAGCATCTATCTGAAAAAATTGAAATTTCCTTCTACTTCTGACAAATTAGGAAAAAGTTGGCAATATTGATTGACAAAGAGAGTGAAAACGGGACTAAAGGGTTTATGCACAACTATGTCTAGTTTTGAACTCCAAACACCAAATATATAAATAATGATGTCAATTGAGCTAGCCCACTCGGGCCATCGGGCTTATTGGATCAGAATAATCAGGCTGATTCTTTATTGGGCTAATTTTTTTTTTTTTTTTTTATCTAACCCTAAAACCTCGGACAATTAGACTTTTCAGGACCTTAACTAAAATATTGGGAAATTAACATCCTAAACTTTCAATTTTAACAAACAAGCACATTTACATTAATAAATATAATCTTAAAACATCATTTAATCAAATCCATATCTCCATTTTCAAACCCCAACTCAAAAATATAATGCAACAGACAATTCAAAATCCAAATCTCCACATTCAAGTTTAGAAATGTAAAAAAAGCTCAAACAATGTCATCCCACTCAGTTTCGGGCCATCCCGCTCAATCCATCAGGCTAATCAAGCTGATCTTTTATTGTGCTAAAAATTTTCCCATCCTTGCCCACTAACTTTCCAGTATTTTCTAGCCAACCCATTGATTTCGGGTTAGATTGAAATCCCTACATATAAATCTAAATCTTGATTCATGACCTAGAATGACAAGTAGATGAAACATTAATCCTTAGATCATTTTGCTATAGCATACCTCCTAAAGTTGGAGCTAGTTCAAAGCACTATAGTGCTTGAACTCCCAACATACTATCTTTCTGCAATCAAAATCCAAATGAAGCTTGAACTTCCACCGACATAGCAACATAAAACTTAAATAAACAGCTAGTCCTAACAATTTATTAGTTACATTTGCTCGAATCCTCAGTCCTGCAATGCATAAAGCATCTCCTCACATTCAATTTTTTATCCTATTAAGTTAACGAATACGCAGAAGATCAACACTGTTCGCTTTCGAGTATCAAAATAGGGCTAATTTTGAAGAAAATCAAATGATAAATTCTCAGTAATTAGAGAGAGATAGAAATAGGACCTGCGTTGAGAGAGCATGATGGGCGGTCTTGTAATCATTGTGGAGAACGTAAAGTCCGATTGCCGACGCCACCGCTGCTCCGGTGAAGAAAGACGCGAATCTCACCCTCAGCACGAACCCCATTCTTTCTGCTTCCTCTCTCTCTCTCTCTATTGTTTTACCCATAAATCCATAATAATCTGTTCACGAAAAGCGGCCCAGTTTGGTTAGTGTTAGTTTTGGGCCAACGGAACATATAAACCCATATATGGATGGGCTTTATAGAGTGGCCCGTATAAAATGTGAGTTGTGAATATTTATTTATTTAAGTTCGAGCTTGATAAATTTAAAATGAAATTCTTTTTTTTGATGGTTTTAAGTTTTAACAGACCAATACCATCATCAAATATGGTAATTTGAAAAAAGAAAATTGGTAATGAGCGGGTAGCAAATTTTTAAGGGTGTGTTTAAAAATCTGTCGAGTTTATGGTGTTTGGCTAGTCAGGAAAAAGAGAAGTCAAAGGAAAATAGTTAATTTTTTTTTGAAAAAATGACTTATCATTTTTTTTGGGAAGTCATTTTTCATTCTCTCATCTAGCCATTTCGCCTCCATCAACACCAGAGAGACAAAAACTCCACCAACACCAGCTGATTTTTTTTTCTCAGATTTAGCACTCTATAGAGGTTTTCCGGCTATGGGGAAGAAAACCCACAACCAGAGGAAGTCTCCTCTGATTTCCGCATCAACCGGAAACAAAGTCACTGGTTTCCAACTGATGCTGGTTTCCAACTGATGCGAAAACCAGTTTACTGGTTTTAACATACCCAAATCTAAAAATACACAATTTATATACTAAATTTTCACAATTTACATACTGAATGTTTAAAATTTTTATATACTGAATGTTCACAATTCAACCTGATCAAACTGATGGTGATAGACAGTGGGTTGAGCGTTGGCAGAGACCAAGCAATGATAGATTAAAATTGAATTCAGATGTTCTCAAAAAAAAAAAAAAATTGAATTCAGATGTGGCGGTTTGTCAGAATGGTAGGTGTATGGATCTGGGTTGGGAAATAAGGGACTCTAATGGAGATTTCTTTGCTGCTAAGGGGGTGCGATGGGAAGGTATCTACACGTCTAACGAAACCGAGGCCCTAACTATCCGCGAAGCGTTGAGTTGGATAAAAAGTTTATCATCTAGATGTTGAAATGATGCCCAACAAGTTTTTTTTTTTTTTTTCGATTTAAATAAAATCTACATCTTTTCATTCTTCTTTAGGTTTGTTATTGATGATGTCGAGGAAATAACTAGTATTTTTACTGATATTTGTTTCCAATTTATTAAACGATCTACAAATTATGCTGCCCATACTGTTACTGGAGGAGCCGTTTCTGAGTCAAGTTGTGGTGAGTGGCTACATGCACCACCTTTGTTCATTGTGGCTATTTTGACAGATGATGTTAATGAATTGATTTGTTCCTTAAAAAAAAAAAACATTTAATCTAATTGAGTAATTGATATCAGGCCCGGCCCTGGGCAAGGGCAGGCTGGGCCCTTGCCCAGGGCCCACGCTTGGAAGGGGGCCCCCATCCCACCCCACTATGTTTTATTTATACTATAGTGTTATTGTATAGGTATTTAATATACATTAGAATTACTAAATGGGTTATTTAGCCTAACTGGTAAGCTGCCTTGTTTATTTCTAAAAGGTCGTAGGGTTGAGCCCTCATGCGTACAATTTCATTCTCTACTTTGTAGAACTACTATTAGAATACTATTTCATTCTCTACTTTGTAGAACTACTATTAGAACCCATATAACTACATTAAATTTATGTAGTATTAAATTGAATTTATTTGTATTTTTTATTAAATTTGTAACTTTGTAATTTTGTTTACCTTTCTATAATAATAATGAGATTTATAATATAGATTGATTTGTGATCTATATCAAATTTGGAATCAATTTCTATTCGAGTAATTTACAATTTATATTTAGAATACATGTTATTTTGTGAACTTTATAATGAATAATGTACATGTAATATATTTTGTTATTTAGTTATGAAAAATATTTGAAAAGATAATTTACTTTTTTTATGAATTATCTAGTTAATGTAGTTTAGAAGTTCTACTGTGTGTTATCGTATTTAAATTAATCTAGAAAAAACTTGAAATTAATCTAACTAAAACAAAAAGTATTTATAAATATAATACCAATATAGAAGATATGTGATTTATAATGTGTTTTCTATTCGAACTATTTTATCAAATTAATTATGTTTCATATTTTATTATGAATATCTTTTATCGCACTTAAAGTGTTCTGATTTATTTTTCTCAATAATTAAGACTTCATGCTCTGCTCTTGTTTATAAGTTTTGTTTTATAAATTTTTAATAATAATTACTTTATTTTTTTTTATAATAATCATAATGTGATTGTGTATAAGCTTATTTGGTATCAAATTGTTTATTCGTTTTTATAAGCTATAATTGTTTATTTATGAAGTCACTGATGCAGGTATTGATAATTTTGAATTTAAGAAAACATATAGAATTGTTTTCATATGTATGTAAAATAGTTAAACACTTTTTAATCTTATTTCAAGTTATTTGACATTAGTATTTTCATGGCCGGATTTTGGGGCATGCAAGATGAGCAACAACACAAGGCCTCAATTTTTAGAGGGCCTAATATTTACACCGTTCATACTTATTTGAAATAAAAATCATATATTTTACAGTATAAATTGTGATTTTTGCATTCAACTGAGTGTTACACCGTTCGTACTTATTTGAAATAAAAATCTTATATTTTACAATATTGGTTTTGGTTGCTCTTATACTTTTGATAGGGCTTCATTTATTTATAAGAACGGGGCCACAAATTTATTTTTTTTAAATGCCTATTTTGTGACCCGTCCTTATTTAATAAAAATTTTAGTTATAAAAATGTATATTAATTTCATGTAGCTAGGGCCCATTTTTGTTGCTACGCCCCCGGCCTATAAAATGATAGGACCGGCCCTGATTGATATTAGAGCATGTCATAGGTTATATAAAAATTAATGAAGTTATGGTATACACTTGATAGCGTGCTTAATCCTAACATCATTGTCAAATAGAGCTGTTCAAACTGGCCTAACTCATTGTGTATGGCTCATTTAATTCATTTTAAAAGCAAATTGGACTATAGCTATTCTTTACTAGGCCAATATTAGACCAACCCATTTAATCTTCTGCATGTTATACTGGCCCGTATAATATGTTTGCCTATTAAATATTTAAATTTTAAGTATTAATAAATAAAATTTCAGTTAAAATAAAAATTTGAAACCCTTAAATTTAAGATTAAGGTACCCTCATTATTACCAATTTTTCAAACAATACTTCTTGTGTGGGTCTCTCTCTCATATATATACCGAGATAACACATTCAATATGTCGTCCAAATTTATTACTTCTTAATTTTCATCCAACCCGTCGAGCATTTTTATGTTTGGTTGATGGATTTTGCCCATAGGAATGAGTATGAAAGTGATTGTTATTGTTTGGTTGATAGGTTTTTAGAACACTATTATAGATTTTAAATACCTCATTAATTGAAAAACTCATACCCAAATAAAATAAGGATTTCATTCTCAAGCACTATTATTAGTAACCATTCTCATTCCACCCTACTACCAAACATCTTAAATACTTTTACCAAAACTCATTACCATTACAAAATATTTTATACTCATTCTGATTCCGATTCACATGTGCGAACCAAAAACACCCATGGTAACATCGTGTTTTATGTTGACCGGGCTTTCATTTCATCAATGAAAGTTCCTCCGCCTTAGCCTATACTTGATATCCTAACTGAAGCAATTTGATTACGCAACTTGGGTTTTAATTGGGTTACTCAATCACGTTATTTGTACGAGTAAGATGTTTGATTTGACATTTGTATGTGTAAATTTAAAACACAGACATTGACCTAATACTCATGTATAAAGAAATATAACTACATCTTCATATATTATTAATTATAACTTTTAATGTAATAATAAATGTTTAATCTAATTGATAACAAGACACATATTACATATTGTGAAGTTCGTTGATAGCTAACAGATTGCAATGAAGAGAATCAAACTCAAATTATGTATTCAAGATGACTTGAGAACCACAAACTCATCCACCTCAGCTCCTTCTTGATATGCACTATGACACATCAATAGTTTTTTACATACACCATGTTATGCACGGGGAAGAATGTTATGGACGGGTATGCTATATACGTGTATAAGGTGGATTCTTTTGTCAAAATTTGGAAGATTATTGCTAGTGGGCACAATTATGCATTTTGATTAGTGTATAGTCAATTTATGATTTAATTAGACGTGTTATACTTACACACTATCTTCTTACTAATAAATGCATGTCAAAAATTTGTTTGAATAAGTCTTAATCTAAATATAAGAAAAAGATAACACTTTCAATTAATTATTCTTGAATTATAATTGCAATGCAACTGGCCACATGCAATACCGGTTGCAATATTATTTCCAATTGATTTAGCATATCAACTACAACTTATAACCATGAAGTTGACTAAGATTCATGGGCGAAACTACAATTTTATCACCGTACAATAATTTCTCAGATATTATTAGATTTGTAGCTTCCGAAGGGTGATAAGCGTCCCAAAACACATACTTTCCTCGGTCATTGCACATAACTGAGCTCATGTTTCCATTGTTCCCAAGTCGGCATAGAAATGGAGGAACATATCCTCCACAGCACGGATCATCACTATTCTCAAATCCTGCACGAATAAATTACAATCAGTCTCATTCTCTTATAGTATTTGTAATTGAACAATTACTTGTACGTACCGAAGTAACGATAGTTAAAAATGATTTGTATGAAAACATCGTATGTGTTTGCATAAACGAAGATTGCTTTGGGTCCTATTTCTGTGTTCAAGCGATGAATCTCTGCCTTTAATTTGGAATTGTATCCCCTAATTAGTGCGTTCACCTCCGCAGAACACTTCCCTTTGGGTACAAATTTTATGGCACGAACAAACGGAATGCACCCAAGAGGTCCAACATCCACTATCACAAATTTTCTCCCTCCTAGTCCATGCAATCGCTTTAATACCAGAAAAAAATAACCAATAAATAATTAATGTTGCCA